AGACAGCCACTTGGTGCTTTAGTGCAGCTGAATTGCAACTGTTTCGAGCCTTTAAGTCATTTGATGTATCTGTTACTCTTTCTTCTGTAACCATCTTTCCCAAACCTTTTCGGGGCTTTCTGTGTGCAAGGTATGCTTTCTGTTTATACAAGGCAACGTTCTCTCTCTGCTTTCAAATCGTGCTTGCAGAAATTGATTTCTCTGTCACAACTTTGATCACAAGCACCTACAGTACTTGTTTTTGGCACTCAAATCTAATCCCTTAATTGTTTTATACTTGACACATCTTCATTAACTGAAAGGATCTTTGAGCCAGGGACTCTGTCAAGTTTGGTAGACTGATATATGTCTGTACATTTATATGCAGATTATGTACAGAGCATGCATATATACATACATACATATATATATATATATACATACATACATACACACATATACATATACATATACATATACATATACATATACATATACATATACATACATACATATATATCTATGCACATACAGTGCATAGATATATATATAGTAGATGATTACTAGATAGCTGGCTAGACAGGCAGACTCATCTGTACATAACATGAAAAGAGATGATCTAATGAAAGAAGAGTTGATGAGATCTCTAACATACATTGGTTCCATTAATGCAGAAACATTATTTAGTCTTTTTGTTTTAATTTTAGCTCATGTGGCTTTTTTTTTTAAATCAAACCACTCAAAAGCAGAAATGGGGGGAAAGGTTTCAGATACATATCATTTGCTCCCCACATGATCATTATTCTCTTAAGGCTTTCAGTTGCCTGTATTAAGCCTAGTGCTAAGTCTGCTGTTCCACATTTTTATGTGCTGTTTTGCAACTGCATATGATTCCTGTTAGCTAAAATGCTAAACTTTAATCTGCACTCTTAAGCTGTGCAAACTTTGTAATGGCCTTTATATAAATCTGCTTTCTCAAACATATCTATTTTTTCTGCTTATATAGCTATATTTTTAGCTAAAGCAATTATAGCTGTATTTATTTCTATTAATCCACATTACTTGGTAGACATCAGAGTCTCAACCTCAGCTATCTAATTTTTCAAAAGGATTATTATTATCATTATTTTTAAAAGTACAAGCTAACACGTGCAAAGCACTATTCCCAGGCACCATATTTATTTCCAATAGTGCCTCTGAGTTCCCATAAGGTTCATAAACATTCCTAGAAAATAAAATTGCTGGGAAGATACAGTCCAGTGCTATGTTTATAAAACTGTCCTATTGTCCATGGGGGGGAAATGACAAAAGTAACCCAAATGATAGGAAGCTAGTAAATGGATATTTTATGTCTGGATAAAACTCGAAGGCACTCATTTTATTAAAACACACATTCTACCATTTTACAGCCATTTTGTGACAGCAGGCACCCCAATCTGTCAACATCAAATCTACTGTATTCATTTTACAGCATGTAGAAACCACTCCAAATATTTCAACTTGGAATTACTACAAATTATTCTGATTAACTCCTCTCTCCCAAATTTACCCATTCCTAACCCATGATGAGAGATTGTGGTGAATCTAGGTGAGCAGAGGCTGCACCAGGGGACAAATTATCTCTTAAATGGCAACTCAGCCCAGGTGGAGAAACATCTGGGCAAAGCATTTCAAAGCAATTCTGCCTTAATTAACACAATTGAAAGGAAGCTAGGAAATTCCTATTATAGATTCTGACTTTCTCTATTTGCCCCAGAACAGCACTAAAGGTACATTCACAGAATCTGTGTCATTCACCTTCCCTTGGTTCTACTAGCTTTTGTGTCATTTTTCTTCCCCTTATCTTTCCAGCTACACAATCCTCAGCCTTTGACACTTCTATGAATCTAAATGAAATCTCTAGTAGTTCTTTTTGGACTACGATCTTCACTTAGAATTACTCATGATTTGTAAAATTGCCTTTTTTTTTTTAATTTCATGTCCAGGTGAAACCTTAAACTGCTAAAATGAGGTCACCATTTTGGTTTGTTCGTTGGCCAAAAAGAGGTCACTTTTGGTGCATTCTACTGGCAGTAATTGACACACCAACCAATGGGCCAGATTCTGCATCTCTCCACAATCACACAGTGTGTTGTTATCCACCAGCAACCCCCACTTGAGCATATTGGTCTTACACTTAGGGACTCCCACTCTCAGCCTATTCAATGTCATCCAAGTAACATAGGAGAGGTCAGTTCCCTCAGCCATGTTCTGTTCTGGGATGATTCCTTGTTCCATAAATTCTCTCCTCCATCTTCTAATTTGGTTTTGCTCCTATATACCTTCAAAAATATTTGTTCATTCATGTGATTATTTTTTTAATAGTCAGTAAGATCAAATACAGGTTTTTCTACATATGAAGTTTGAGTCTTTCTATTGAGTTTAGTAGGTGGCTCAGTGGATAAGATGCTGAGCTTGTCGATCAGAAAGGTCGACAGTTCGGCTGTTCGAATCCCTAGCATCCCATAATGGAGTGAGCTCCCATTACTTGTCCGAGCTTCTACCAACCTAGCAGTTTGAAAACATATACAAATGCAAGTAGAAAAATAGCCCTTCGGTGGGAAGGTAACAGCGTTCTGTGCGCTTTCAGCATGCAGGCCACATGGCACAGAAACATCTTCAGACAGCGCTGGCTCTTCGGCTTTGAAACTGAGTTGAGCACCGCCCCCTAGAGCCAGAAATGACTAGCACGTATACGGTGCGAGAGGAACCTTTACCTTATTGAGTTTAGAACTGTCTCTAATCTCTGGGGGGAGAAAGGATAGCCAAAGGAATGCCTATTATAATTATATTCCAAATGCAGTTTACAACATGTATCTTTCTTTCTTTCTTTTTTATTTATTTATTTGCCATCTACCTTACCACAGGGTAACTCTGGGTGGCGTACAGTTGCATATACAGTTAAAACATTCATAATTAAAATTAGACATTAAGACCAAGGACATATGGGGAGGAAGAGGGCAGAGTGAGGGAGACGTGGGATCTATTATTACTCAATCAACCACTTCCATTGTGCTGATCCCCCACTGGGGCCCTAAGCCAACTGGCACAGCCTTGTCTTTAGGCCCTTACAAAAAGATAGGAGGGTTGGGGCCAACCTCACATGTGTGTGTGTGGGGTGGGAGATGTTTCAGAGGGCTGGAGGAACATCAGAGACCCTCCTCCTGGACTTCACCCGCTGGAATAATTAGGCTGACGGAACCCACAGGTGCCTCCTCTGCTGGCACAAGTGGTATGGGCCAATCTCAGTGGGATGAGAGAGTCTCTCAAGCAACCTGGGCCCATCCCATGAAGGGCTTCAAAGTTGATCATGAATACCTTGAATTGCACCCAGAAGCAAGGGTGGGTGTCTCACAAGGACTTTGGGGTTTTAGAGTGATACCACAAATAGCACCCACAATCTTCTTGTAAACACTTCTTGCCTCTTTTTATTAGCAAATAAGGCAGGTTACTAGGTTCGTTTTCAGAAATGCAAAGCAATTCAGGCTGTCTTTATTATAGTAGCTAAACAAGCCGGCTTCCTTTTCTCTGCTCTCCTACCCCCTCCGGCTTTTCTGATAAGCGATAATGAAATGGCAGTAAAACAGTGAACCAAAGGCTTGATTCATGTGTGTCTGTCCAAGCATTTTAAAGTTAACACTCTGTCTCCTGGGTAAAGCATTCAGCCTACTGCATTGATTAAATGTGATGATTGCTTTTCCAGGCTCCTACTTAGAGTTAAGGAAGAGGGATAATTATGCAGAAGCTGGCAGGACATGATCTTTCACTCTTTTAGCTTCTGAAGAAGCCATATGCATCCGTTAGAAAAGCCCCTTGGTGTTGTCTCCTATTGATGGTCTTTGGGCCATCTAGAACTCTTTTTCATGATCTCTGAAGCCCATTTTGGAGCCAACCTATCTTCAAAACAATCTGAAGTTCAAAACAACAGAGATCATTTTTAGGAGACCAGTCATCATTTTTTTTATTTCTTTCCCAGAAGTCTCTCCTTTGAATCTCCAACTTCCTCCTCCTTCCCCCTCTCCTCTCCTTTCCCTTCCCCTTCCTCCTCCTCTCACCACAGCAGCAGTCCCTCTTTCCTGTGAAGAAACTTTCAGCTTCTCTTCCTCCAGGTTCCTAAAAAGAAATAAATATATGTTTGCAGTAATTGCAGTCATATCAATTACTGATTTCCCCATAGGGGTTTTTCACTATTTGGTTGCACTGGGGAATTCAGTTTTCACTTGACCCACAGGAAAATCCTAGAGCATTTTTCATGATCTTATATGTGCACAAACATCTGAAAGATGTTCAAAAATGCCAGATATTTTTCACAGATAAGTGATTATGTGGAGCTTCTTTACATTTGCTTACTTTGTATTTGATGATGTCATAGAAAGGACTGTGTGTGGAGAAAGTCAAAAGAGAGAGTAATCATACCCATATGAAAGAAGTAGAGTTTGCAGTACAATGACACATCTGCCTTTTGCTTTTAATAAGGAGAGATAAAAAAACAAAGAGGAAAAAAAGATTATTGGTTTCCTAAATGTATCTATCTTCTCCACCATCTTCATCCATCTATCTATCTATCTATCTATCTATCTATCTATCTATCTATCTATCTATCTATCTATCTATCTATCTTTAATCATCTATTCTCTTTCTCTATCATCTATTCTCTCTCTCACTCTACTATATCTATCTATCTATCTATCTATCTATCTATCTATCTATCTATCTAT